AATAGGTTGTGAGCGATAGCTGCCAGGGTCTTGAATGAATCTAGCTATGCATGAAAAAGAGCGGCCCAGTTGCCGCTTCAAAAGTATGTGCACACTCAAAATTTTTCATTTCAAAGTTAACTAAAGAACCTACCGTAACGAAACCATTCTCAAACGTTTACTCGTAGTCGATAACCTCCACAGAAATTTAGGGGGCCCTAATGATTTCTAATCTCGGTTATATTTTTGCTTTTTGCTAAGTGTGCACATACTTTTGAAACAAAGAAAAAATTTTCCTTTAATAAAAAGTTATGTTATCAGCTGCGATGTTTTCTCAGAGAAAGTGTTAGTAGGTTATCGCACACAAGGAATCGAATGGTGAAGATCACAGGTTATACAAAGCAATGGTATCCCCAAAAAAACAAAGTGTTTGGTGTGCACATACTTTTGAAACACACTGTATATGCTATAACTGCGACTTGGTATCACTCCTTGTTGGAGTGCTTGTAGAAGGTGACGGTACAGGTCCACTGTTGTAAAATTATCGTTGGCAAAGCCCTGTGTGCATGCCCTTGGAACGCCGGTATCTCGGGAGGTAAGAGGTCATCTGGAAACGACTCCTTACCACGGACATCGCGTTGCATATGTACATCAACAACGCTCATTGTTTTGATTCGAAGTCTGTCTCACCAACCAGAACACAGCGAATTTCTTATCCGACGAATTGCTTCTGTCTTCGCATAAGCTAGACCACGATTAAAAAGGCAAGTAAGACCATTGACATTAGCGTTAGAATCTTATATCCAATAACAACCCATTTTGTGCGGTAACACAGTCTTGGCTTGGACTACAAGTTTGTTTGCCTTGCTGCGTGCCACGAAATTCGACGGAAGACTTGAACTGGGTTCTGAGAAAATGCGATCAGTTACATGGACTTCGGCAGCAAGGCGGGCGCTAAAATTAGCGTTGCTGGGTTCAGAAAGTTTAAATTAAGATAGCTCAGCAATCTGAAAGGGACAAAAATGTTCTTTGTCGTTCATTCAGTCTCCTCATCAGATGGATCAGACGGGAGTTCTCGCTGCTTAAGCTGGAAGGTATTCCGAACGAGGTACAGTACTCGCCGCTACGCTCGAAAATCCAGGCAAATACCGTGAACTCGCGTCTTTTTCGTCTTTTTTTTATAAATAGGTTCAGAGAAGTATTCTAGGAACCGAGGAAACCGGTGGCTCATTTCGTCAAGCTCTGTAGGTTAATACCCTGGAGTATTGACAATCGTTTCGGGTTGCGCCATACACTTCAGTTCCATCCGAAAAGAAATTGCATGCACACGTTGCTTGCGAAAACTCGAAAAGTAACTTTAACCATAAACAATAGGGAGAACAGAACTTGTAAAAAAACATGACCTGCTTAACATGCCAAAAGTTCGATGAAGCTGTAGAACTGATGCAAATGTTTTACGAGTGGCTGACAAACAGCCAAAAAGATTGCTCAACCAAAATTTGGGTCGCGGAATTTGTTAAAAGGTGGGCTCCAGGTGAGCGCAATCGTGCTGAAGCCTAACTATAACAGATTCGAATCTGCTAAGAACGAAGGTAACCAACCAGTTAGCATCAAGAATAGTGATAGTGAACAAAAACATGATCATTATTGATAGGAACAGACGAGAAGCCTTAGAACCAAATAACCACGTGATTGAACTAGCGTCTGGAGCGCTATTTTTGATACATGCTTTTTGCGTTTTTCAACAGGGCAACAAAAATGAGCCGATAATGAGTGGTTAAGACTGATGTTGAAAAATGCGGCATGTTCGATCACGCTTTCTGCCATAAAGCGAGAACATTCAGCTGGGCATGAGGCGAACGTTGAAATAGAACATAGACCATGGATAATACAAACCTGTGAAAGGTTGTAAGATAGCGGAACGTTTTGGTGGACTCGTTATGTATCTTTTGCCAGTTATGGAGCAGAGATGTCAAGGTATGTAATAAAAAGTGACATAGATTGAAAAATTGACAAGAGATATGAATCAACGGAAGAACTTTCGAAAAAATAGAAGGGAGCTCGTGCTGCGTTGGACCAGAATAGCGTGCGCAAGCAACAGGCGCAACACGGTGACATTCACAACGAGCTGGGCACATTCTGCGCTGCCAGCAGTAGAATAAGTTATTAGAGTGTAGAAAGGTGTCTCGTCCACGGACGAGTGCTGCATGTAACTGAAACTGGAAGAGCAGAGGAAAATCTTTGGATAAACTTTAGCTAGGTCTCAATGTCGCTAAAGATTTGTGTGTGCCAAAGAAGAACCGTGGTGAAGGTTAAACGAAGAATAGAAAGAACAGAAAGGAGCAAGTCTGGCGACAATCCTCGTGATACCTAACATTTGAGCGACCACAAATTTTTTGGGAATTCTACTACTGAAAAATTTCTGTGCTTCCGCACCTGGATTTATTCGAACCTCGGCAGCCTGGTTCACGTTACTGCCAGCATCCAGGTCATTTCCCCAGAATTATGGGAAGTCCTTCAGTTCTCCAATAACTTCTCATCTGCAATCTAAGACCGAATCTGTGGACTCTGCGAAGCTCAGGAACTTCTAACATTCAGCTGCGACCCATTCTTCGCCTACACGTTTTGCCTTTCCTCAGCTTGTCCTAGTGTTTTCCATACACTCACGTGATGTCATCGGAGTAAAAGATGATATTCAGTAGTGCAACCTTGAGTTGGTTCGTGATAAAGGAAGGAAGGAGGGATTGACTCAGAGCTGAGCCTTTTCAACCATTACGTCTACTACTTTTTTTTACTTCGAGATGAGCTCGTATGTTTTCCTGCTTTTTTGGAATACTATTAATGTCGTCTATTAGTTGTTGTGAAATGGTCTGTTTCCATGGCGCTGATGAATGGTCGCGCCAAAGTCTGGAAAAATTTCTTTGCATTGAGGGAAGCTAGGTAGCATGATATACGCTTTCCACATCATCCCCATCGTGGTCTAGCGATGAGGATGGCATTTGTTGCATACTTTTACTGTGTGTAAATCTACCGCTCCTGTAAGTTCGAGATAAGTTCTATACATTTTTGAGCCCACTACACTGCTTTGTCATCATAAATCCACCTATAAATTTCAGCTTCCAAACTAAGGTTCCAGGGCATTTCAGGAAAAGGCTTATTATGGATATTACGCCCTATTCAGACTGTAAACTTGTAGACCAACAACGAGCTCCATCTCACGAGCATGGACAATTTTCAGTTCACTTTTCATTAAAAGTCACATAGCCTATATTGCAAAACGATAAAGACACTGATCAAATAACTTTATTCAGCAACTAAGATCAAATAAATTTATTCAGCAAGTAAATGACGACAAAGAGATGACGTTGCGTGATTAGTGATTAATTGAGCTCCATTCCTTCAAATATCCTCACAATTACGATCATCTGAGCTACAGTAAATGCTATCAAAAGTTCCTGTTAAACTTGGTGCCCAACCGTTGACGATTTTTTCTCAGCTCGGTGACACTTCCTACTGCTTGTTCCTTCATTAATCCTCTTTTCCATGAATTCTACGCGTTTCCCATTCAATTCAAGTCAAGACTGTTAGTCGGCCAGGGCAAAAAGTTGATGGGGCGCGGACTAAACCGGGCCTGGGTACTCCGACTGACGTGAATTTTGCATTACCCTGCATGAATACAAGGTTCTGCTGCCATTTCTGAAACCAAAATCGAAGAAGATCACGACGCATTACGACTCGATAACCGGAAGAGCTGAGCTTCTTCGGAACAAACCATAAATGATGACGTTAACAAGAAGAAGTTGCCGCCCGTGCAATGACTCCTCCTCCCTTTAAATTTCTTCTTGGAAACTGAAGCTTATCCTTTCTCAGGTCGTGCCAATAGAACCTGCTTCCATCCAGGGCAACACAATTAGATTTTTTTTAAAAGAAACAGCCTAGAGAACGAAACATCGAAAGAAATAAAAGTAAAAGGCAAGCTAGGCACCTTATTCCTGTCGGTTACGATGCTATTCTTTGCAGAAGCGACCCGGTCATCGCGATGCTTTTCGGTCGTTAAGAATGCCGTTCCTGTTATCCGTCAGCGATAAACTAAACCTTTTTCTACCATGTTTCAAACTCTAGTCATTGGGACATTGAGTTTCGAAGAGGACTTGATTTCCGTACGTGGGTCTGTCGTAATTGACCCTTTTCTCGAAAGCCTTTGCTTAAATCCTTCCAAAAGTAACGAAAAACGTCCCATACTTTTTTTATTCCCATACTCTAGAGGATTCCTGACTTGTTGACAAATGAGTGGCATCGGCCCAAATTTCAAGCGATTTTGCGACTTGATAATCCCTGCTGCTCTTTTGCAGAAATTTGACCTCTCTCAAAATCGGATAGCAACTTTTCTTTACTCATTACCTGAAATTGGAAAATTTGATACAAATAAAGCAAATCTGTAAGGTGTAAAAACGCGACGTATGAAATACTCAGTTCAACCTAATCCCTCTGCAGTTGCGCCGTGGTGTCCTCTGCTCGAGAACTGAACTACTACTGTTGTCCCTCTACGCATCTGGGACTTTTTCGTCCGCTGGTGCACATGAAGGGCACAAGAACTGAGCCAATTACTTCCGTGTTCTTCAAGCTCCCTGAATTCGACTAATATCCTGATTCCCTCTATCTCTGCTCCAAAAAGTTCAAATATGAATGGAATAACTGAACATTTACAGTCGCGAAGTGAGTACAGGGGAGGAAGTGTTTACCCTACCTTTCTAAACTTTTCGCAAAATTCCTACAAATTGTCTATATCTAACTTGTTGGACTAATATTTACCATGGTTTGCTCTGCGTAGTTGGTAGTGCTTGGTAGTGCACCGCGAGTGGTAGTATTATAAAGAGCTCAATTCAAAGTACATAGCGCTATCAGAAAATGTAATTCAATTGAAAAATAATTGTTGTATTCTATTTTCCTGTAAATTTATGTTCGCCATTCTATAGCTGTGCACACACACATCTTATTGGGTCTACAGCGATTAAGCGAGGTTCTACTAAGTGCTTTTGAATCGGCTTTTTACTTATGATTTCTGGGATCGACTACTCGAGGCAAATTATGGTGGCACACACGCAGCTACTTCAGGCTGATGTATTCGCGGCTTGCTATGTACATCATACCATGGCTCCACGTGAATCATTCTGTGATCGAGTGGATGAATTTTTGAGAATATACATGACGTGATGACGGAGTTAGACTTTCAGCCTCTTAAGAGCATACCTACTTTAGGAGTGCGTACCAAACGATCAAGTGATCTGAAGATACTGCCAAAGACAGCACAAAACTTTTCTTATCAGTCGGTCGAGGTGAGATTTATTTTTTGAAGCGGAGCTTATCATCAGGCCAAGAGACAGTGAGTAAGTTGCTTAATTGTTGTATATTAGATAAAGAAATCAAGCAAGGGGGAACGAAAAACAGTGTGTCCATAAAACGCACGTTGGAATTATTTCCCTAACTATCGAGTCAATTAACATACTATCCACCACTCTTGAATCAAGTAATGTTCGCTTTTGCAGAAGAATGAGGCAGCTCCACACCGTTCGTATACAAATGGAACTGTTTTAAATCGCAATAACCCACCAGCAAAAGTAGCCCAGGAGGGTCCACGTCCGATTATGCCTCGCAACAATGGATTATGTAGGTTGTTACTGGTTGAAGCGACAATTCTTTGCATCAGTAATAGGTCTAGGTTAAAACAGTAGAAGGATGTGAGACAACGACATTTTTTGAAAAAAGTCGTCAGTTACTACTGTTTTTGTTCAAACCTCCCGAACTGAAACGGGGAAGTGGAATCGTCCTTCTTCGATGACAACTTGAATATAAAAGTAATTGCTCAGTCATTCTGCTACCTTACGCTCTAGTTCTATATTTGAATCCTTCGATAAGTACTTTGAAAAACGGGCATCCATTAATGGGTGCTTTTATTAGAGGACGATGATGACGGACGCAGATCTCTCCATCAACATCCGAAGATCTCCTCCCAATAACTTATCTCTACTGGTGGTAACCATGGAGTAATTTTTCCGTTTCCAGTCCTTGTAGTCCTTTTGACAGCAACATTAACGAAATGATGCCTAGCGGGTAGGAAAAATTAAGGAATGAATTTTCAGTGGGCGCTGAGTTAGGTCTTCCTTGCAATACCAGGAAACTGTGAAGTTAACGACAGGAAAAATCGCGACGAACAACTAAGTCGTGAACAGTAGCTGTGTCAATGACTCCCTTCTTGTTGTTCTCCTGTTACTCTACCTCCATTGTCAAGACTCAGATAAAGCTGTTCTAGAGGGGTGCTAACTTTAAAAATTTGAGCTTTCATTGATTGTTGGTTCGGGAAGGAATCGAACTTACATGGAACCAATTTATAATTCGTTTTTCTAGTGCATGGTAATTTATATGACATTACACGAGTGGGCTATAACCTGGTTAGCAATTCCAATGTGGACTCAATCAGTGAAAGAAATTTTCCACTCACTCTTTCTGCCGTAATTTCTACTTCCAGTGGATTCGGCTCTGCACGCACCACTTCATCCTATGGATTGCGTCGATGTGTTGATTGGTGCAGTGCGCAACGGCCGCATCCGAGTGCAGGATTGCTATTCTAGAGATCGGTCGACGCCTCTGGAAGATTACTAGTATGTTTTCATGTGTAATTTTAAGCCTGATGACTACATGTTGGCAACTGCTTCTGGATAATAACAATTCGTGAATTCGTTATTAGATGATTCTGTAGCGTCATAGAATTCTTCCAAAAAGTGTTCGAATTCCTGAACATGGAGGTGACACACCTTGCTCAGAACTCCACCAAGGAACCTCCCTCATTTTTTGAAGAGAGAACTGATTGGTTCGAAACCTCTGCTCGAAATCTATGACTATATTTGGTTCAACCAGAACGGCAACGTGAACGCAAGTTTGATAGACCTAATTCATCACTTTCATAATTCTTCTTATTTTCCTCCGATTTTCTATAAAAAAAAAAGAAATTCTTCAATACGTGAAAGGCAACTAAAAACGCGTATGTTAGTACAATGATCGAACAACCTGTTTCATTATTATATCGAGGTCTAAGTTGGTGACTTAATTTTTATCTTTCTTTCGAGTTTGCTATGCAGGTCTTAGGCATTAGAACTGATTCTATCATGCTGAATGATACAAAGGTGTTGAGCCACTCGGATGCATTATCAAAATTTTCCGCAATTTTACTTATTAATGTGTATGACCACCAACGTTATCTATGACATGCGACCAACGAGCGGGCAACTCAGCTATGCCACGACCTTTATATTGCGCCTACGAAACACATTGCCCACTTTCGATCATTTACATTTGTCATTATCGTATTCTGCTCCTCTCGCAATCCACTGTCTGTGTTGCTGCGAGTAAATGGCATCAATACGAACAAGAGTATGCGTCGAAGAAGTCTTGGAGATCTTGGAGCTGAACTCTGTAGATGCTTGCTGTAAATGTTCGACAATGAGTCATGGTTCAGTATTCGATATTGTATTCTCCTGGTATTGAATTCTCTAGAAGCAGTGCAGCAAAGCCTTCCTTGAGTGTTGTTCTGGCTTGACTGATCTTTTCAAAGACTAACTAGGCATGTAGCGAGCATAGTCGTTAAATTTCAGCACAATTTGACCCCACGACGATAACACCAGTTTTTTTGTGCCATGAAGGCCACCATTATTAGCTACCTTAGGGTTGGGTAATTAAACCGAGAAGTAGATTTTGTTAAAAAAATATAGAGCACCAAAATATGTATAAAACGACGATCGGACGAGTGACATACGCAGTGCGCAGGTGGTTATTTTCAAGCATTCCAAGGGAGGGCTTAGATTGTTGGTCCCTTTCGAAGTTCTTCCGACTTCGTAAAACCTTGTACGGATACGGTATACAGGGAGAATGCTCGCGATTGTTGAATATTACTGACAAGATTTTCTGATTTTCCTAGAATACGTTGATGGTCTTAGAGCCTTAAGGGTGCTTCTGTAAAAGAAAACGACATCAGAATATGTGCCGCAAGACTTTCGTGTCAACCTAATACATATTTCACCATTCGCTACTTTAGTTTATCGAAAAATTTATCAATGTTCGCTGACTGACGATTTCGATTCTTTTTCTCCACCCGATCCAGGAATAAGCTTGCATACATGACAGCATCAAAAGTTTTACACTATTTCGGTCACTAAACTGATCAATGGGTCATGGATCTGTTATGCTGACGCTATTTTAATATATCGATTTAACGCTTCTTGCCAGGACCTGACCCTCCCTGTCTTGTGCTATCCTTGGAGGACACAAGTTCGTTCCAGGGGAAAGCCTAAAAACCATTTCTGTCTTAAATATTACCTCTGACAAGGAAAGACCGTTGACGATCTCGTCATAAACCCCACATCTCTCATTCATTATCGAAGGGCGTAACTAACGCAGTGTACTCTCCTTTCCGAGACTCTTCATAAGTCCCTATCAACTGTTATATTTTCTGTTGTAATACTCTGTTCCACACGATGCCGAATGTATCCCTTCCAAGTTGGAACGTTCTAGATACGAGAAGACAGGAGATATTCAAATACATATAACATTCACATAAACATATATTCGTCATACACACACACATTGACATATACACACTAACACACACGCGCACCGACGCACACAACAAGCGATTCACCTAGAGAACTATATATAATATGATGCTTTCACATATTATACGAAATAGCCTAGAATATTAGTATTTGGCTTTGCTGTATAATCATCACTGATAATTAATAACTATTAAAGTATGTTCAAAATTGGTTTTCTTTGCTTGAACTCGAACGAGGTTGATAAGAAAACAACTTTATTTTGGCTAACGTTTCGGCGCGGATCGCCTTCTTCAGAGCCTGGAACAATCGAAACAATTCAT